ATGTCTCTTTTTGCCTACTAAAGTACGGGTTTCGAGTGGGTTTTGGCTCTGCGTGTGTGAGGGAGCAAAATACGACACCGTACACTGTACCATCATATCTCGGTCTGTGGAGTTGGAACCCGGGCACTGGTCACTCGCCGTCCGAGGCAAAAGCATGGCGGCCTGAAACTGTCTCCAAGCGGATCTCCTCCCAAAGCATGCCTCTTTTACTATCGGGGGGGGGGGGGGGGGGGGTTCGTCAAAGCGTCGATGGCAGCTGAACACTGGGGCGGATCTGGGACGCATCACAAGACCCCGACAGTCGGATGTATCACAGTACGTCTAGAGCTCTGAGCTTTGGGTGGCTTTTTCGGAATATGAGAAATGAGGCTGTCATCCGAACAAGCAGTGTGGCGTGCCTGATGGTCAAAGTCTGGCCAAAACGAGCCATTATGAGTAGGTTCCGAAACCCAAAGTATAATAGCAACTAACGACGTTGAGAGTTGGGACATGAGATCGGCAAGCAAGAGACTATCTGGATAGTAGTTGACGGTTGAATGGGGAGGGTAAGCGCTGAGCAGAAAGCACTAGTAAGCGAGGATGGGGAGGACTCGAGCTACTAAACGCCCAGCCGAACCGAATTCAACGCCCGAACAGAAAAGTTCAGCAGTAAATTATGCTCCATTTCCACAATCTGGTGAAGCGCTACTGGCCACATCGCATCCCGTGTTACTCATATTAGCTAGCTACTGCTATTTAAATCTATCTATATTTACTTTCGTACTTGCCTTCGCCACACACACAGCCAGTGTAGTCACGATTTCTAAGTGGTCCCCCTCTGCCGGGAAGGGCGAAATTACGGGCTGGATAATGACCCGCCCGCTGCGTATGCGGCGTAAGTTGCGTAACATTTCCACTGTACCGGATCGCTCGTTCCGACAAGGCGGGTTCGCCCCTGTCCGTATGGGGAAAAGGAAGGATGGAGGCTGGAGCTGGAGTGGATGAAGTTGACGGGGCACTGGGCGTGCACTGGGCATGGCTGGACGAGTAGGACAAGGTCTTTCTGGTGGGTTACACTTGTGCCCAATAACCGGACAGGATTGACTTGAACAATTGGAGAGGAAAAGAGAAAAGAGAGAGAGATGGGGCAACCAAGAGAAAAAGGGAGAGGAAGGGGAGGGGGAAGAGGGGGGTTGCCGAGATGGTTGATGGACTGATGCCTTTTCGGAGGGAAGAGTTTTGATTTGAAAGTTGAAACCGGGTATGGAGTACTGTCGAGAAGTCAAGGCGATCTCCATGGATGGAAATCATTTGGAGATCATCAGAAGTGGAGGAGGCTAAAAAGAAACTTGCAATTTGAATTGAACGGCTTGATTGGAAAGTGAGAATGCTCCATGGTTTATGGTGGCCATGGTTCACAGATAGATTACCTCTCACTCATGCACAACTCCCTCTTTGTTGATGACTATTTCCCTGGTTTCTCGGTTTGGTTACTGCCATCTCCGTACTGCGCGGTACGTACTTTAGCATACAGTTTTCCTCCGTTCCAGCCGCAAAGTCAGTCTGTGATCGGTAAGAGAATGTATCGGCCGGTGGGGAGTCCCTCGGTATTTCCCCGTGTCGCGCGGCTCCGTCTGTCGATGGAGTCTAGTTGACTCGACTCGACCAAGCTTGGGATAAGGTATGTCCCTCCCCTTCACATTCATGCATTCATTCGCTCATTCATTTATTCATTCCTCGCCCATTAAATCATGCTTTTTTTCCGCCTTCATTTGCATTGACCGAATTCAAGTCGAACTCAACTTATTTTAGGTGCAATCATTTTTCTCATCGGAGTAGTAACAGCCTATAAATTGATTAGCCAAATATATGAGTGTACGGAGTATGTTGGTGCCAGAAAAAAACAAATCACTGTAGAGCAAGCAGACTTCCCGTTCGGCAGATTTCTCTTTCTCTCAATTCCCCCTCTTTCTGTACTTTCATCTTAAGAGAAAACGGATGGAGATCTGCTTGATCCGATTCCTCCTTCGAACCACATCCGAACGGGTCCCCCCCTCAACCCCTGTCGACTGATCATGTCGAGCTAAATGTCGGAAAAGTGGAGACGGTGTTCAATTGTCAATCATTTTGTCTCGACCGAGTCGACCAGTCAAGGGACTGGAAGTGGGTTTTACCTCCATTCTAATTAGTGTACCTCAGTAGCTCAACGGGAAGAAAGCTCCCTGAGCCAGAAAGTGAGGGAAACAAAGAAGAGAAGAAAAGACACACACACACAGACATAGTTAACCTGTTCTTCCCCTCGTCCTCTTCCCAACCCTTTCATCTCTTCACTCACTCCACTCTCCCTCTTTCTCTTCCTTCCCTCTTCCCTCCCCTCTCTTCTCTTCTTTCCCCCTAAACCTCCGCCCCCTCACTTTTTGTGCCGCTTGTCAACCTTGTCTCTCACCACAATGGATACGTTTTCGTCGTCGGACAGTCCGTCCTTCCCCGGCAACCGCATTGTATCCTACCTACGAACTTTGGCCAAGTCCAAGTCCGAACTGCCTTACGGACTGCCTGTGTGTGTGTCTCCCTCTCACACGGTTACCAACACGGACTCGCTCCTGCATCTCGCGTCCTTGGTCGGCCCCCATATCAGCATCCTTCAGGTTCACGCAGATATCATCGATGACTGGTCCGAGGAAACGGTTCGCCAATTGACCACTTTGGCCAGAAAGCATGGCTTTTTGATCTGGGAAAGCGGTCGGATTCTCAATTCCACCGTGGACGTTGTCGGTCGGCAGAAATCTGAATCGAGAGAAGTACGGAATGGGGTGGTCGACTTGATACGGAAGAAGTACACTAGGGGTGTGGTGAAGCCAGCATCATGGGCGGGCATGTCGACAGCCTGGGCTTCGGGGGCCGCTGTTTACAACCAGGAAGCCGACATTTTGATTCCGACCTTGAAGGCTGCCGCTCGGGAGGCAGTGGCAGACGCTGTGCAGACCATCAGAACCGAAATCACCGCCGACAGTTTCGCAAATGAGCAATCCAACAGCGATCAAGACTCGGCACAATCCCAACATCTTACTGAGTATGTCGTCGACCAAAGTGGCCTGGGACTGCCCCCACGGAAGGCCTCGACTATCTCCCTTACCCAAACAATCACCCAGCATACCGAAGATTCTGCCGATTATCCCTTGGAATCACCTCAGTTCGAGCGCCATGGCTTCGAGTTTGGAACTTTGAGTCCATCTACGATACCTGAGGATCTTCCTCCCCCGCCTCTTCTGGCCCGTGGTCTAGTACTTTGTTTGCCATCCAGGACCGATACTTCCTTTACTCCCGACTACCGTCAGAGCTGCATAGCTGCTGCCCGTGCCAATCAAGATTTCGTGGTGGGATTCCTCTGTGGTGAACCATGGCATCTTGCCTCGCAGAGAGGCGACATCTTTGAGACAGGCCTGTCTGGTTACAACGATGAGCAGCAGCAGCTGAGCCCATACTCGTCGGATGACGACGAGGAGCTGCCACACTTTGCGCTGTTCTCTCCCATCTGCCAAGGTGGACAGCCGCTCGACGGCAGCGAGGAAGATGAAGATATGGGAGAGGAGGACGAGACACCTCTGCCTGAGACCACGATACCACTTGAATCCCTCAACCCTCTCGCCGCAAAACTATTCTATGCTGCTGGAAAGGCCTTCAAACTCCGCGAAGCGACCAGCCAGGAAAATGGAATCACGCATAAATCCGACACCACAAAAAGCTGTCAGATCTTGCACATTCCTATCGTCTCGCTGCCGTGAAGAGGCACCGCTGGGAAATCCCTTACCGCATACGCCATATCTTTCCTTTTGATTTCGAATAACTAATCACCTATTCTGTTCGCACATATACATATTTATTTCGCTACTATGTCTTTTAAAGCAACAATATCGCACAAGGGAGGTCTGGAGTTAAGCGCTGTCAAAACCATTTCGTTCTGTCATGTTCTGTTATTACCATCTTCTGAGTACAACATTAGGGGGTCAGAAATCATCTGTGACTACAGCCAAAGAGCATAGCAAATTTTAGCATCACCAGGCTCGGGGAATACAAGAATTCCAAATACCAATGACCACTAAAACGTAAGCATCCAATCGGGGCATATAGCAGCCCGAGCTAAATTGCAACGGCGCCATTTAGAAAGGTGTCTAGAACTCTAGATCCAATCCCTCAGGCTCTAAATTCATTGTAGCCTCATTCCCTGCAGCGGTCGGGACCGACGCCGGCCGAGCATTCCCCAGGCATCTGGGGAGATTTTATAAGAGCCCCTTACGATGATCTTGATCCTTTTTGGGTTGAGCAGACTGTATGTGGGTACGAATGATAACATCTAGCCCGAATCCGAACTCGAGGGCCACGTATTTGCGGTCAAGATAGTATAATGGACTGAGCATTTCAACAACCTTTTTTTTTTCCTGGTTGAGAGATTGCTTATTATCAAAGGTCCAATTCCATTGTCAGATAATCACTAGTGTAGTTGTATGTATTGGCCCAGGAATGACTTGCTACTTAGTAGTACTAGTAGGTTGGCATGGGGCTCTATAGTTCTGACGTATGCTGGGTACTATCCAGATAGTAGTTTGCTACTCGGATATTTATATGTCTTCCGTTTCAGTGAGTACCGGTCATCGACAGTGATTGCAGTAAGAATCATACCACTCGCTTCTTCCAGATACAGTAAGTTGTTTTATATATATTATTTTCGATTAGCACGAAACAACTCCACAACTGAAAAAGAAGGTACCAGACCAAGATGAGGAGAGGAGAACGAACGGTATCCCCGCGGTGGGTCACATGACGATATGGCTCGAAGAGGCAATTCTTTCGATCCAACCACCACTTCTTTCGATCCACATCTCTTATTTGCACACATATTGTTTCCATCATACTACGAAGAATATGTTTAGCTTCTCGATATGAGAAGGCTGCACATAGCGTCATAATGCCAGAGTTGTTCCGGCCGGTGGCCTCCAAATGATAACTGAACCTCTGGCGGAGATCCCAATTCCTACCTCTGGCAGCAAGAGTACAGATTCCACGGAACCTTGTTTCGAAGCTACGAGGAGCTTGTTCGAGATACCCCAATGCTGTCACCAATTGTGCTGAGAGAGATCACCTATTATGACCTCCCTAAGGATATCGCGAACAAATCCAACTGCACAAGATCAGCTCATCATGGACTCGGAAGGTGCCCCAGAATCTCAACAGGAGAGCTTAATCTCTGGAATAGGTAACCTGTCCATAGAGACAGCCGCAGGCCATTCTGAAGTCACGCATCAGGCAAATGGCGTGGCTCATTCGTTGCCTGACTTAGAGGAGTCGGCTGCTCCCTACAAAGTGATATTGCAGACTGGCGACGTGATCATTGAATACTTCGATCCTGAATCTGATATTGCGACACAAGCGGAGGCGCGCCATCGTCGGTGGCGAGTCTCCAGCGATGATTTGGCACGAAATAGTCCGTATTTTCGGGCCCTTCTTGACCCGCATAAATTCTCCGAGGGTCGACAACTCATGCAGCAGAAAATGATGCATCAGAAGCTTTTGACTGAGGAAACGGTGAACACTGCGTCTTCCAAAAACCCGAATGCAGAAGTGAGAAATCTGCCTGTCGTGATTCTCCCGAGCAAACATGTCGCATCGAGGCTTGGGTTGGATGCCATCAAATTGTTTCTGGAGATCCTGTCCTTCCACTCCTTTGAAGAGGAACAGAAGTGTTCATTTGATGCGGAACTAAAGTTTTCGCCTGTGTCTCTGATCGCAAGACTACTGGAGCTAGCGGACGCCTTCAACTCCCCGCATGTCGTCCGGGAATCTCTCAAGAGAGCCGGTTACGCTTATGGGAAGGGGAAATATCAACCCTCCAAATTTGATTCTTCTTTACTGAAGCTGAGTGAGGATCGCATCCGACAAACCATCTTTGTAGCGCGGACCCTGGACGAGCCAGTCATATACAGAGTGATGACCCATGCCCTACTGGTTCTTGGCTCGAAAACTTGGGCAAACGGTGTCGAGCCTCCGGTTACTCCTACCCACCCCTGGCGCTTTCTGCCTAACGGTATAGAAGGTATCCTCATCAAACCCGGCACGCCTTTTCCACTCCATTATCAAGCACACTAACCATACTTCAGAGGAGCTCTACTTCCGCCGACAATGTGTTCTGAACACTATTACCGACCTCCAAGCCTACTTCCTCCGGGTCTACGGCGCTTTAGAAGACCCCGAGCCCCCTAAACCTTTTGTCCCACGACAACCACTTGCACCAGCGATCAACCAAGCGCGTCCCTTCCAATGCCGCTACGGCTTTGGCAACTCCAGTGCCTGCGACGCCTTCCACCTAGGACAGATGACCCGATTCTTCTCTCTTCGCACGAAGACCATCTTTCTCGGCTCGACCTTAATTGATCCTGATTTCACCCTCGACTCAGACACCGACTCCACACCTGAACAAGCACCGGCACCTCCATCAGATATAACAGCCATCATAGCTTCCCTCAAACAATGTCCCGACTACCAAATAGACCCAAACCACGTCGGCTGCGGCATTCGCCGCCGCTTCCTCCCCCCACTGGATTGCATAGAACGCTTCGTCGGAGACGGACGAGGCCTCCTCGGAATCGACTTCCACTCATGGACCGGCCAGGAATGGCCCTTTGCAACCCCGTCCTCATGGGCTAACCGTACCCTTCCTCGCGCAAACGTCATCGATATCCGTATCTCTAAATTGAGCGCTGTACATGGAGGAAGCGGTGCTCGACTCTCAATTACCTCTCAAGAAGAAAACGCCAGGTTACTGTTCACCGCGAAAAAGAGGAACTGGGAGGCTTAGCCCAGCCTCATTCTAGGCTGAAGGTCAGCTTTGAGTCTAGCCTAGAGCTCTTGGCTTCCAATTTGCGCGGCATTCAATTTTTCTACGTTCTGAGAGGGTTGGTTATGTGTTCTCGCACGGGATACAGATATGAGCTTTGTGGTTGTTTTGATATGTTGATATTTACCACCCGTAATGGGAAAATTTTGTGTATGTAACCCATGTGATTTGGATAGAGAACATTTACTACCCACGTGAAACGAACAAGGTACTAGATACGGACCAGCATGGATAAGGATGTAAGGCGTAATCTTATAGTGAATACATATATAAAGTAGAAGAGAAAAAGGAGGCTTATATTGGAGAATAAAACAAATAAAAGAACCGTGGTCAAAAAGCATAAGACACAACTCGCAGAAACCCAAATGGGCAGTCCGAACGTCATTAGTACTCTATACACCCAAGCAACGGAGACATGAGAAATAAAAAAAGATTCTACTCGATGACATATCCCTCGGCGACGCTCTTCACATCCTTGGAGTAGCCAGTGCTCTCGCCCTCCATCTCCAGAAGAGTGATGTCGTTTACGTCGACCTCGACGAAGGGGTTAGCCTTCGAGAAATGCACGTTCATGGGGAAGAACTCGTTCTCATCTCCGTCGCCTGTGGACTCGAACTCGAAGCTGCCAGATGCGTTGCTCTCATCCACGGTTCCGATGTTCCAATCCAGGCTGTCTCCGGATACTTCGTAGACGGCGTCGAAGCTGGACACTGCCGGTTCTGTGGCGCCGTAGGGGATAGTGACGACGACGTCGCGCAGAGTGTCGGAGCCAGTCAGCTCGTACTCGATGGTAACGGTGGTCGAGTCGGAGCCCTTGTTCACCCAGACGGTGAACGTGATGGGGAGGATATCGGCGTTGTCCGATCCAGAGCTTGCGACACGCCAGCGCAGCACACCAATGGAGTTGTTAGCCGGGAACCTCTTGGACGTATCCTTCAATTGAATGGCGGAAGAGTTTGTGAAGACGGCTTTGTCGACATTAGGGTGAGTGCGGAATTGCGCACCATGCGTGGGGTTAGCGTGGAGGTCGAGCTTGAGTTTGGTGAAAGCTGGGTCGGAGATTCGGAGTTGCAGATCACCCTTCACCTCGAAGGATTTCAGTGCACCCTCACGTGTAAGAGTAGCAGAGATTGTCTCTGCGATTGTGATGTGGACAGGATCCCGGTCCGTTGACAGCGAGGCACGGGCGGAGGACACCTTTTCGGCGATCGGCGTCGAGGCTTGTGGTGTCACCAAGGGGCTGGACTCTTCAACTTCAGGACCAAGGTCGCCGCGCACTTTCTCGTATATGTCGGTGGTTTTGGACTTCTTGCCAAGTTGCATGCCCTTGCCGCGGGTGGGTAACGGCCTGGAGTGGGGGGAATGTTAGAGACAGCGAGCAGAGATAAAGATGGATGCACGCACTTAGCGAAAGACTTCTTCTTCTCCGCCTCGTAGGTGTCGTAGGTATCGGGAACAGCTGGCCGGGAGGGGGGAGTATAGACGGGGTAGGAGGGCGCCCGGGGTGCCATAGAGCGGCCAGATTTGGCGGCCTCTTTCCGTTGCATCTCCAGCTGTTTGGCCTTCCTTTTGCGCTCCTCGCTGGCCTCGAGTTCTTTGTTCTATACCCAGCAATGTCAGCCATCCATTGACAGTATACCCAGGTGAGGGTATACATACTCTTTCAATAATCTCCTGAATTCTCTCCTCGTGACTCTCCATTTCCAGGAAGGTCTTGATCTGAGTAAGGGACAGATTCTCCCTGTACCCCAGAGTCACCAATTCATCGTAGGCACTAAGCAATTCGAAAGCATTGCGCAGAATCTCCCTCTCATCCAAGCTCTTACAGATGCTGGTGGTGACTTGGGCGAAAAGGTGGAGACTGTCGATGTCCTGCAAGATGTTCGACTGGCGGTTCGTGATCAGGACGATGTATAGCTCGTCCAGAGGCTGGTATACGAAGCGGACATTGTCCTGCTCCACGGTCGTATGCTGAGTACCGGAGTCGGCCAGTTTGGGGAAGGAAGCGAGCAAGGCCTCGATTCTTGAGCGAGCAATCTCACGGAATTGGCGCGAAAGTACGGCCTTGCCCCCGCGGGTGCATATGGAGGCTGCGAGGACGACCTGTTGTTTGTGCGCGATTGTTAGCAGAGCTCTGGGAACTTCTTGAATATCGGGGATCGAACCATGGCTGTAAGGATTGAGGTCAGGTGTCTAGTAAGAAATGATAACTTTCGCCCAGATGGCAGCAATCTCCCGACGGACGAATGTCTGGTAGGCGTGTCTTGACGTCGAAGCCACGGGGAGTCGCTTGCTGTTCTCTTCGTCCCCGTTGGCCCGTGCGCCGCGCTACCCCCTCGCTTACCGCAGCACAAGAAGCTTCACTTTGCCTCGACCTCTCCATTTGCACCTTACAAGTCAACCTTTTCCCTTCACCTTTCCCTACGACTTATTCAGGGACCAAACTGTCGTCACCGCAGACGCAGTTCGCACTTTTCACTGTCCTCGGGTGAAACCATCCCTAGTGGTCAAGGCAGCTCACAAAATCTGTTGTTGGGTTGCTTTCAGGCACACCTCGAGATCGCCACGCCGAAACTCTCGACGCGTCTCTGTCCTTCTGTTGTAACACCGATCGCATATCGATGACATGACCACCGCTTCGTCGCTTGCACCTACCAACATGGAGATCTCTGTGGCCGACGATAAGATGGAGATGGCTTCCCCCTATCAAGGGCATGTGGATGACTTTGATATTGATATCGATATCATGGAAGACCAGGCCTCCGTTACCGACAAAGACATGATGGTAGCAGACGAATATTTCGAATACGATCACGATGGTGCTCCCGATGAGGACATGGTCGATGATGTTGCCGAGCCGACTATGGTTGATGCCGATGAACCTTATACCGGAGCGGATTACACCGTGGAAATGCAGGACGAGAATGAACGTATTTACGAAGCGGAAATGCTAGAAGACGACTACGAAGAAGACAACGATACCCCTGTTGCTGAAGCTCAAGACGAAGTGCCGACATCATCCGAAGCTCAGAACCAAGCGGTAGAAGGAGCGCAAGTGCCAGAAGAGAGTGCTGTGATGCCCGTTGATAAGCACAGCGCTGAGCACGAGCTCCAAGAGGAGCCCCAGACGGAACAACAAACTCAAGCAGATGCACAGAATGACCACTCGCAAGGTGTTGAACAATCTATCGACCAACCAGAAGAGCATGCCCCACAGCAGCCCGAAATAGACACAGCCGAGTCGACCGAAATCAAAAAGCCCCTCGAGGGTACCAACACGGTGGAGCAAGAGTCTCATAATGTCGCGGAACAAGACGATCGGGAAGAGACTGCTAATAACGCCGACCAGCCTCGGGTCCTTGAGAGCGGTCCCAGCGACGTTGAACCTCCAGCCGATGCGTACAAGGATCCAGCTGAAAAGCTAGAGGGTACAGTAGAAGAAGAGCATGAGGGACAAGGTCAAGAAGGAGAAGGAGATGAGGGGAAAGTAGAGGCAGAGGGACAGGGGGGTGAAGAAGGACATGGAGAAGAGGAAACTAAGGTCACAGAAACTCAGGATCGCTCTGCACAGGCGCAAGACGTCGAGCACCTAGTCGAGCAAGAGGCTCCGGCAACGGAACGCACGCCTCTGCATCCGGTCAAAGTCTATTACCAAGACAACGAGATCTCACTGTTCCCTCCTCGGGAAGGCGACTCATCGGAGACGTTCTTCCTCGAGGATGAGAGCTTGGCTTTTGGGTCTTTCGGCAAACTTCTCGGTTCGTGCCGTGAGGTATTACGTGAACATATTGGAGATAGTGAGGTTCTTGTTGTAGATGTCGAGGCTCTCAATATTCAACTAACCGAGGTTTGTCACTCGTGAATCCTTTCTATTAGGCAAATTCTAACCTCGACTATAGGACTCACTTCACATTGACAAGGTCACACTACATCAGATTGTAGATTTGTACCTCCGTCTTTGCCACAATGACGGGGTGGAAGAACCGGAAGCGCTCTATCTTAGCTTGAGCACAAGGCCCACAGTTGCTGCGGAGCTATCCTCTCTCTCTATAGCTGCAAACGAAGGGAAAGGTCTGTCGGAAGTTTACTGGGATGGTTACGGCGAAGCAGAGGCAGCCTCCGCGGAAGTTTACGAGGAGAACCAAGAAGTTGATATTCCGGACGATCTTCAGCAGGAATCCTCTGAAGCAGAGGATGCTCACAGTGATTCCGAAGACAACTACGAGCCGGATGTCGACTCGACGCTCCAGACAGGCGCTGCTGAACAACAGCAAGAAGGGCATGGCGACCAAGCCCATGAGGACCATGATCAAGCAGCTTCAGATAACGATGATGCAGTTGGCCCCGCTTCAAGTGACGTTCGGGAAGGCGATAATGACCAGGACAGCAACCGCCATGAGGCTCATCAGGCCGAACCCGAGTCTGTGGAGTCTGTTGACCAATACGAGCTGAACGAGTCGTATGAATCAGAAGAGCAGTCAGAGTCCACTGCTACGGTGACTCAACAGCCCCTGCCTGACTCAGCAGACGGTCTGGCCGATCATGATCATGATCATGATCATGACGAGCATGAGACTGAGCATTATGGCACGGGAGTTGCTGATGAAGAAGCCTACCCGGAAGAGGAAACTAATGTAGATGCTACTGAACACTACGACTATCAAGAAGATGCCGAAGCAGCCGAAGCTGCCGATCTCCCCGGAGAAGCAGATGAGGAATTCGATGGCGATGCGACGGCACCGGATGTGCAAGCACCAGATGATTTCCAGGATATTCACGACAGCGATGAAGTCCAGGATGGCACGGTCGACGCTGACTTCCATGGCCTTGAGAACGATGACGGAGAGGTCCACCGTAGCGGTCCAGGCGAAGAGGCATCGAATCAGACTGAAACGGTTCCGGATAGTGTCTCCCAGGAAGCCCCAGAGATCACCAACAAATCTGCCGAGGATTTGGAGGATGACTCACTAGGTACTGCGGAAGATCTGCTAAAGAGCCCCAGAAAAGAAGACAATCGACATGCCGCCGAGGACACTAATGCGGATGAACTCGAAGAGCCGGGAGAAATCCACGATGAATCCGAAGAAGCTCCAGCCACACACGATGACGCCGATGAGTTGACATTCGACGATGAAGACTATCTGGATCTGGGAGTCCAGGATGGACTGGCTGCCGGCGATGAGGCAGACCTTGCCAAG